TGCAATTTTTTTGGCACTTGGGGGAGAAACAGGATCCCCCTTTGCTGGGGAGCTAAAACAAAGATAAAGATGGCCAGTAACAAGAGGGCCAATGGCCCCAATGACCAATGCCAGACTCCTGGGGATCCTAGAAACATTTTTCCCCTACTGGATCCGGGCAGGGTGACGGGATCAAATTTTCCCTTCGGCTAGAGCCCCCCACCTCCTGAGGGCGCAACTAACAGTCAGATCTGAAAAAAGGGTTCATGTAAAAACCAAAGTCCTGGAAAAAAGGCAAAGCCAAAAACTAAAAAAACAAAAAAAAACATTCCCCGCACAATCTGTTTTACATATATGGCTTATGTGCACGCATATTGTTGATTCTTAACCTATCAGAAAGATGCACTATAACGTCAAAAGAAATAGCCCCAAATATGTGGGTTTTTACGACATGCTTGTAAAGAAGGAAAAATGCGGAAGAGGGAGAAGGTTGGAAAGGGGAAGGAGGGCATTGAGGTTTCTCCCCGCCAAAAAGTGTCATCTACTGACAAAGGACGTCTGTGTGGTGGGGTCACGTTTTGACTTGGGACGTCAGTGTGGTGGGGTCACGTTTTGACTTGGGACGTCAGTGTGGTGGGGTCACGTTTTGACTTGGGACGTCAGTGTGGTGGGGTCACGTTTTGACTTGGGACGTCAGTGTGGTGGGGTCACGTTTTGACTTGGGACGTCAGTGTGGTGGGGTCACGTTTGACTTGGGACGTCTGTGTGGTGGGGTCACGTTTTGACTTGGGACGTCAGTGTGGTGGGGTCACGTTTTGACTTGGGACGTCTGTGTGGTGGGGTCACGTTTTGACTTGGGACGTCTGTGTGGTGGCAGTGTGGTGGGGTCACGTTTTGACTTGGGACGTCTGTGAGGTGGCAGTGTGGTGGGGTCACGTTTTGACTTGGGACGTCTGTGTGGTGGCAGTGTGGTGGGGTCACGTTTTTGACTTGGGACGTCTGTGAGGTGGCAGTGTGGTGGGGTCACGTTTTGACTTGGGACGTCTGTGAGGTGGCAGTGTGGTGGGGTCACGTTTTGACTTGGGACGTCTGTGTGGTGGCAGTGTGGTGGGGTCACGTTTTGACTTGGGACGTCTGTGTGGTGGCAGTGTGGTGGGGTCACGTTTTGACTTGGGACGTCTGTGAGGTGGCAGTGTGGTGGGGTCACGTTTTGACTTGGGACGTCTGTGAGGTGGCAGTGTGGTGGGGTCACGTTTTGACTTGGGACGTCTGTGAGGTGGCAGTGTGGTGGGGTCACGTTTTGACTTGGGACGTCTGTGAGGTGGCAGTGTGTGGGGTCACGTTTTGACTTGGGACGTCTGTGAGGTGGCAGTGTGGTGGGGTCACGTTTTGACTTGGGACGTCTGTGAGGTGGCAGTGTGGTGGGGTCACGTTTTGACTTGGGACGTCTGTGAGGTGGCAGTGTGGTGGGGTCACGTTTTGACTTGGGACGTCTGTGAGGTGGCAGTGTGGTGGGGTCACGTTTTGACTTGGGACGTCTGTGAGGTGGCAGTGTGGTGGGGTCACGTTTTGACTTGGGACGTCTGTGAGGTGGCAGTGTGGTGGGGTCACGTTTTGACTTGGGACGTCTGTGAGGTGGCAGTGTGGTGGGGTCACGTTTTGACTTGGGACGTCTGTGAGGTGACAGTGTGGTGGGGTCACGTTTTGACTTGGGACGTCTGTGAGGTGGCAGTGTGGTGGGGTCACGTTTTGACTTGGGACGTCTGTGTGGTGGCAGTGTGGTGGGGTCACGTTTTGACTTGGGACGTCTGTGTGGTGGCAGTGTGGTGGGGTCACGTTTTGACTTGGGACGTCTGTGTGGTGGGGTCACGTTTTGACTTGGGACGTCTGTGTGGTGGCAGTGTGGTGGGGGTCACGTTTTGACTTAGGACGTCTGTGTTGTAGAAGTGTGGTGTGGTCACGTTTTGACTTGGGACGTCTGTGTTGTAGAAGTGTGGTGTGGTCACGTTTTGACTTGGGACGTCTGTGTGGTGGCAGTGTGGTGTGGTCACGTTTTGACTTGGGACGTCTGTGAGGTGGCAGTGTGGTGGGGTCACGTTTTGACTTGGGACGTCTGTGAGGTGGCAGTGTGGTGGGGTCACGTTTTGACTTGGGACGTCTGTGTGGTGGCAGTGTGGTGGGGTCACGTTTTGACTTGGGACGTCTGTGTGGTGGCAGTGTGGTGGGGTCACGTTTTGACTTGGGACGTCTGTGTGGTGGGGTCACGTTTTGACTTGGGACGTCTGTGTGGTGGCAGTGTGGTGAGGGTCACGTTTTGACTTAGGACGTCTGTGTTGTAGAAGTGTGGTGTGGTCACGTTTTGACTTGGTACGTCTGTGTTGTAGAAGTGTGGTGTGGTCACGTTTTGACTTGGGACGTCTGTGTGGTGGCAGTGTGGTGGGGTCACGTTTTGACTTGGGACGTCTGTGTTGTAGAAGTGTGGTGTGGTCGCGTATTGACTTGGGACGTCTGTGTGGTTTCAGTGTGGTGGGGTCACGTTTTGACTTGGGACGTCTGTGTGGTAGAAGTGTGGTGTGGTCGCGTTTTGACTTGGGACGTCTGTGTGGTGGCAGTGTGGTGGGGTCACGTTTTGACTTGGGACGTCTGTTTTTTATAGAAGTGTGGTGTGGTCGCGTTTTGACTTGGGACGTCTGTGTGGTAGAAGTGTGGTGTGATCACGTTTTGACTTGGGACGTCTTTGTGGTAGAAGTGTGGTGTGATCACGTTTTGACTTGGGACGTCTGTGTGGTAGAAGTGTGGTGTGATCACGTTTTGACTTAGGACGTCTGTTTGGTAGAAGTGTGGTGTGATCGGGTTTTGAATTGGGACGTCTGTGTGGTAGAAGTGTGGTGTGATCACGTTTTGACTTGGGACGTCTGTTTGGTAGAAGTGTGGTGTGATCACGTTTTGACTTGGGACGTCTGTTTGGTAGAAGTGTGGTGTGGTCGCGTTTTGACTTGGGACGTCTGTTTGGTAGAAGTGTGGTGTGATCACGTTTTGACTTGGGACGTCTGTGTTGTAGAAGTGTGGTGGGGTCAGGTTTTGACTTGGGACGTCTGTGTTGTAGAAGTGTATTGTGGTCGCGTTTTGACTTGGGACGTCTGTGTGGTAGAAGTGTGGTGTGATCACGTTTTGACTTGGGACGTCTGTGTGGTAGAAGTGTGGTGTGGTCGCGTTTTGACTTGGGACGTCTGTGTGGTGGCAGTGTGGTGGGGTCACGTTTTGACTTGGGACGTCTGTGTTGTAGAAGTGTGGTGTGGTCGCGTTTTGACTTGGGACGTCTGTGTGGTGGCAGTGTGGTGGGGTCACGTTTTGACTTGGGACGTCTGTGTGGTAGAAGTGTGGTGTGGTCGCGTTTTGACTTGGGACGTCTGTGTGGTGGCAGTGTGGTGGGGTCACGTTTTGACTTGGGACGTCTGTTTTTTATAGAAGTGTGGTGTGGTCGCGTTTTGACTTGGGACGTCTGTGTGGTAGAAGTGTGGTGTGATCACGTTTTGACTTGGGACGTCTTTGTGGTAGAAGTGTGGTGTGATCACGTTTTGACTTGGGACGTCTGTTTGGTAGAAGTGTGGTGTGATCGGGTTTTGAATTGGGACGTCTGTGTTGTAGAAGTGTGGTGTGGTCGCGTTTTGAATTGGGACGTCTGTGTGGTAGAAGTGTGGTGTGGTCACGTTTTGACTTGGGACTTCTGTGTGGTAGAAGTGTGGTGTGATCACGTTTTGACTTGGGACGTCTGTGTGGTAGACGTGTGGTGTGGTCACGTTTTGACATGGGACATCTGTGTTGTAGAAGTGTGGTGTGATCACGTTTTGACTTGGGACGTCTGTGTGGTAGAAGTGTGGTGTAATCACGTTTTGACTTGGGACGTCGTGTGGTAGAAGTGTGGTGTGATCACGTTTTGACTTGGGACGTCTGTTTGGTAGAAGTGTGGTGTGGTCGCGTTTTGACTTGGGACGTCTGTGTGGTGGCAGTGTGGTGGGGTCACGTTTTGACTTGGGACGTCTGTGTTGTAGAAGTGTGGTGTGGTCGCGTTTTGACTTGGGACGTCTGTGTGGTGGCAGTGTGGTGGGGTCACGTTTTGACTTGGGACGTCTGTGTGGTAGAAGTGTGGTGTGGTCGCGTTTTGACTTGGGACGTCTGTGTGGTGGCAGTGTGGTGGGGTCACGTTTTGACTTGGGACGTCTGTTTTTTATAGAAGTGTGGCGTGGTCGCGTTTTGACTTGGGACGTCTGTGTGGTAGAAGTGTGGTGTGATCACGTTTTGACTTGGGACGTCTGTTTGGTAGAAGTGTGGTGTGATCGGGTTTTGAATTGGGACGTCTGTGTTGTAGAAGTGTGGTTGTGGTGTGGTCGCGTTTTGAATTGGAATGTCTGTGTGGTAGAAGTGTGGTGTGGTCACGTTTTGACTTGGGACTTCTGTGTGGTAGAAGTGTGGTGTGATCACGTTTTGACTTGGGACGTCTGTGTGGTAGACGTGTGGTGTGGTCACGTTTTGACATGGGACATCTGTGTTTTAGAAGTGTGGTGTGGTCGCGTTTTGATTTGGGACGTCTGTGTGGTAGAAGTGTGGTGTGATCACGTTTTGACATGGGACATCTGTGTGGTAGAAATGTGGTGTGGTCACGTTCTTACTTAGGACGTCTGTATGGCAGAAAAATGACGCGATCCCACACGGATGTGAATGTGTTGGGTGTTTGAGAATCGTTGGTTGTCATTAGGCATATCGTGAATATGTGTGTGAATGTGTGAATGTGCGTGTGTGTGTGTGTGTGTGTGTGTGGGTGTACGTGTGTGTTTAAGTGAGGGTCTATTTTAAGGAGCAACCATTTCCTAGACCAGCCTAAACACACTAATTAAAGCTTGACGGAAGAAATCGAAAAAGTGCAACTGAACTCTTCGACCTAAGTCTTTACCAACAGAGTACTAGATACAACATAAAATTTGACTGGAAAACTGACAAAGATTACAGAGCTTGTAAATAGCCAAGGTAAACAAGACAGTGAGAAATACGTAATAGTGGGGTAAAATATGGACCTGATTGGCCGTGCCCTGATAACATCAGATCTCTGAGTAATTGAGTACCCTGACAACATCAGATCTCTCAGTAACTGAGTACCCTGATAACATCAGATCTCTGAGTAATTAAAAACCCTGATAACATCAGATCTCTGAGTAATTAAGCACTCTGATAACATCAGATCGCTGAGTAATTGAGTACCCTGATAACATCAGATCGCTGAGTAATTGAGAACCCTGATAACATCAGATCTCAGAGTAATTAAGCACTCTGAAAACATCAGATCTCTCAGTAATTGAGTACCCTGATAACATCAGATCTCTCAGTAATTGAGTACCCTGATAACATCAGATCTCTGAGTAATTAAGCACCCTGATAACATCAGATCTCTCAGTAATTGAGTACCCTGATAACATCAGATCTCTCAGTAATTGAGTACCCCGATAACATCAGATCTCTGAGTAATTAAGCACTCTGATAACATCAGATCTTTGAGTAATTGAGTACCCTGATAACATCAGATCTCTCAGTAATTGAGTACCTTGATAACATCAGATCTCTGAGTAACTGAATGCCCCGATAACATCAGATCTCTGAGTAATTGAGTGCCCTGATAACATCAGATCTCTGAGTAATTGAGTGTCCTGATAACATCAGATCTCTCAGTAATTGAGTACCCTGAAAACATCAGATCTCTGAGTAATTGAGTGTTCTCATAACTTCAGATGGAAGATGAATTAGGGAAATTAAATGTCGAATAGCTCAAGCAAGTTGATATGTTGGGTACTTGGGTCTCCTGATAACATCCAATGGAAGATGTCTTAAAGAAGTTAGATGTAGAATAACCCAAGCAAAGGCAGCATTTTACGCAATAAAGAAAATTGTATGGATTCCTTCATTGTCAAATGAGAGGAGAAAAATCATTTCTAATAGCTATATAAATCCTATCTTGTTATACGGAAGTTAATCACGGACAGTTAGTAGATTAGTGAAAAACTATTTGGAAGCTGCAGAGATCTGATTTTATAGAGAAATTATGAGAATACCCTGGCCAGATAATAAAAGTAACGAAGATATCTTGAAAGAAGTTGACTCACAAAGAGAACTGATTGTCCACGTAAGAAAGAGACAATCTACATTTTCTGTGATCATGTGATGAGAAGAATACCGGAGTAGATCGTAACGGTGGGAAAGTTGGAGGGGAGGAGAGGCAGAGGGAGACTGAGAGAACAGATGCTGGACAGCCTGACTTTTTGATATAGAAGATCATCTGTGTCAGAGTAAATTGAAAGTACACGAGACAGAAGTTTGTGGATAGACATGACTACGAAAGCCACATATGAGCTATACTACGAACCGAAATCAGTAAGAAGGCGTCGGACAAAAGAGGGGTGGGGGGATATACAAATTTAAGTCATATCTTAAACACTGAATGATATATACAACTTTGTAGCTAAAGAAAAGGTCTTATGTACACTCCTGTAGGTTTCGCTGGCATATGGTGCTACAACCTCGTTTACTAAGTAGCTGAACAAACAAAAAAAGGAAAATGATAAACCAGAAAAGAGCATTCAGTAATCGATACTGAACTTTATACCATTACTCAGCTTTACAGGTAGACAACAAATCGAATGGTTTGGCCATGTAACAAGATTAACAGCAGACAGGGCGCCACAGAGAGCAATGTTATACAGATATAATGGTAACAGAGCCAGAGATCGACCAAGCAGAAGATGAACCGCAGAAATATCAAAAACACTGAAATAACTATATACCAAGTGAACAGAAGGGCCCGTTCCAGAGATCTCTTTATGTCCTGAGGCCGCGAGGCGTTCCAGGAGTAAAGAAAAGAGGAAGAAGAAAGAAGAAGATGAATACACTGATCCTAGACACATTCACAGAACCCCATTTTTCTATACTCTAAAGCAAATTTGTCAATGTGGTTTGCTTCTTCCACTAGACGTATAGGACCTGCTATGAACCCACCCTTGGGACATTAGTCAACCCATCCGACC